GGCTATTCTTTTTCTAATAAAAAATTCCTAATTTTAAAAAAGTTATATAAAAACAACAACCAGAAATAGTGAATCAAATCCACACATTTTAGAGATGAGTCCAGGCTCAGCAAGGGTAAATGACTTACCCAAGGTCATATACCTAGCTTGAGAAAGAACTAGAGTGATGTAACCCAAGTTATTGCTCTTTATAATATACCATCCTGCCTCTCTCCTTACTCAAGAATCTTAAAAACTGCTGTTTGGTATTTTGAAACAGAGTTTACAAGCATTACAGTACTTGCCATTTTACATAATAATTTGCTAATAATAGTTCACACAAAAAGATTCAATATTAAGTAAAAAGTTAAGTCAAGAAACTGAAATATAAGAATTTAAGCAATAAGAATTCATCTCTTGTATAATATGTTAGGATAAAATAATATTAAACACTCTTAATGCAATGAGGATAGAATGCATAAGGATAACTACAGATTACACAATCTTGCTACAAAATCCTACATTCAGATCATAAACTGTTACAGTTTTTATGCCTTCAATATTTTGATTTTCACTTTTATCTCTGGAAAACTGATGGAGAGGTACATTTCATGATCATGTATCACCCTGGGTTTCATGACTTGCTTCTATGCTGAATATAAATCTAAGACTATCTCCTAAGAATAATCTGAGACTGGTATTTTGGGTCTCTGAAGGAATGATATAAGCCATCACACTGAGAATGAAAAGGACATTAACCAAACTGTCATTTATATAAATCTGAGCCAGATAGAACTTAGCAAGACATATTCTCCTTCTGGTGAAGGTCTAATGCAGGATTCAGAAACTTTCTCTATTAGGGGTTAAATAGCAAGTATTTTGGGTCCTGCATGCCACAAGGTCTCTGCTGGAACTGCTTAACTCTGCTAAGTTTCTAGCACAAAAGCTTGAATACACAATAGGAAATGAATGAATAATGCTTAGTTCCAATAAAACTTTATTTTAATAAACAGATTTCAAGTTGGATTTGGGTAGGGACCTTGGGTAATTGTTATAAACTCTCATTGACCAAGTCTTTACATGTTAACACTTTCTTTTAAACTTAACAGGCTTATTTGTTAGCAAGCCAGTTGACAACAACAACAACAACAAAAAACTTGAAATAATGAGACAATAGAAATTGAGACTGACTCAATTTAACCCTTAGGATTAATGCATAGTTTAAAATCTGACTAAAAATTTTGATAGTATCCGTTATGGATGGCAATTGGTTTTGGAACACCTGACTTGGAATTGAACTGATGGCAATGAGTTTGGTTTTTTAGTTGGGTAGTGCAAATGGTTAATGCACTTGCTGCTAACTAAAAGGTTGGAGGTTCACGTCCAGCCAGAAGTACCTCAGAAGAAAGGCCTGGTGATCTACTTCTGAAAAACCCTTGAAAACCCTGTGGAGCACTGTTCTACTTTGACACATGTGAATCACCATAAATCTGAGTCAACTTGGCGACTGGTTTGGTTTCTCTCTTATCAACGGATAAAGTATTAGAATAGCTACCAATAGGTGCCAGACTTATTTCTTACCCTCACACTAATGTCAAAAAGTTGGTATCATTATTCTCATTTTAAAACATTGGAAACAAAGGCTCAATAACTTGTCATATGACTGCCTTAGTTTTAATTGTACCACACTGCCTCTTGGTAGTCTTTAATCCTGTTAGCAGCAGTCACTTTGAATATAATGACTAACATATAAGACAGGACAGCTTGTCTGCCAGCCTTGCATCCATACTCTCATCCATCTATAAAAACACTAATAATTTCCAAACATGCTCTCCTTTCTTACCTATCAATCTGAATTTTCTTCAATGTATCCATAGTCATTATGGTCTGCCTTATAGGTTTTTTTAAAATAAGTTCCTGCATTTTGTTAGAGTCCACTATAAATTGGCCACCTTGTCTGATTTCTGGCAACTTGGCTCCTTCCACAGAGAATAATGGACTGGAAGTTTTCGAGGTTGGTGACATCACTTGAGATTTTTCTAGACTTCTTCCATCTAAATTCGCTTCTCTGCTTTTCTTCTAAAAACAATAAATAATGTTTTATTTAAGAAAGATTTTTAATGAGTAATGAGACAACAGGAGCTCTGGTAGCATAGTGCCTAAGGCACTTGACTGCTAACCAGAAGGCTGACAGTTCAAACCCACTAGCCACTCCTCGCAAGGAAGGTTGGGCAATCTACTTCAGTAGTGATACCACCTCGGAAACCCAAGGAGGGGTCGCTATGAGTCAGGGCCAACTCAAGGGCACATAACAACAGCAACAATGAGACAATGTTAAAAGAAAGAGTGCCTCTGCCTACATTTTCAACCTCATCTCCCACATCTACTCTATATCCCAAATGTGCCTTTCTCTTCAGCCATAACAAACCACATGTCCTGCTGGGTTTTTTATTTTATTTTTATTGTTATTTGGGTAAGGTTTACAGAGCAAATTCATTTTCCATACAGCTGTTTATACACATTTTGTCTCATGACATTGACTGCAATTCCCCACAATGTAACAGCTCTCCTCCCACCTCCTCCCTGTAATTACCTCTTCCCTGTGTTCTTTCCTGTGCATTTCTGCCCCCTGAGCTATCTCCCTGTGCAAACACCGCCCTTCTGTTCTCCCACGAATGGAATGATCACTCTAAGGAGGGTATCTACCCCTATGTGCCTGTCCATCATTTAGCTGGAGTGAGTCCAATTCCAGACCTGCAGGATAACTATGGGCCACAGTCTTGGGAGTCTCACCAGGCTCTATCAGATCAGTAAACCTGGTCTTTTTTTTTTTTTTTTTTTTAATGATTTTGAGTTTTGTTCCACATTTTTCTCCAACTCTCTCCAGGATCTCCCGCACTGATCCCTTTCCCAGTGATCAGCAGTGGTAGCCGGGCACCATGCAGCTCTTCTGGTCTCATGATCATACAGGCTGAGGATCACATGGCCCACTAATCCACTGGACTAACTGATTCATGTTTCTTTGGTTTTCTTCATTCTTTGCTCTGGGTAAAAAGAGACCTATTGCTACATCTAGATGGCTGCTTGCAAGCTTTTAAAATCTCAGTTGCCGCTCACCAACATAGGATGTAGAACAAAGTTTTTGTGTAGTATGTTATGCCAATTGAGCTTGATATCCCTTGTGACCATGGTTCCGAGCCCACAGGTCCAACCACTCACTCCCTCAGGGTAGTTGGCTGTGGCAAAGAAGTTATCATAACTTTGCCCCTATTTGCTCCATTAAATATTTGGACATTCTTACAGCACATACAGGAGCTCTGGTGGCTTAGTGCCACTATTTGCCACCATTAGCATTTGACTGCTAACCAGAAGGCTAGCAGTTCAAACCCACCAGCCACTCCTCAGAAGGAAGACTGATTGGGCAATCTACTTCCGTAGAGATACCGCCTCAGAAATCCAAGGAGGGGTTGCTATTATACCATAAATTGTTGTTGTTATGTGCCATCGAGTCAGCCCTGACTCATAGCGACCCCTCCTTGGGTTTCCGAGGCAGTATCACTACGGAAGTAGGATTGCCCAACCTTCCTTCCGAGGAGTGGCTGGTGGGTTTGAACCGCCAGCCGTCTGGTTAGCAGGCAAGTGTCTTAGCCACTATGCTACCAGAGCTCAGGGCCCCTATATTTGTGCCCTTTTTTTCCTTGAGGAACTTTATAGTTTTAGGTTTCACATTTAAGTCTTTGATCCATCTGGAGTTAGTCATTGTGTATGGTGTGAGGTATGAATCTTGTTTCATTTTTCTGCAAATGGATATTCTGTTTTACCAGCACCATTTGTTAAAGATACTATCTTTTCCCCATTTAATGGATTTTCACCCTTTGTCAAAGATCAGCTGACCATAGTTCAATGGATCTATTTCTGGGTTCTCAATTCTGTTCCACTGGTCTATATGTGTGTTGTTGTACCAATACCAGGCTGTTTTGCTACTGTGGATGTATGGTAGGTTTTGAGATCTGGAAGTATGAGATCTCCTACTTTGTTCTTCTTCTTCAATAGTGCTCTGCTTATCTGAGGTCTCTTTCCTTTCCATATAAAATTAGTGATTTTTTTTTCCATATCATTAAAGAACGTTGATGTAATCTGGATTGAGATTGCATTGAACATAGAGACTGCTTTGGGTAGTGTTGACATTTTCACAATGTGCAATCTTCCTATCCACAAGTATGGTATGTTCTTCCATTTATGTAGATCTCTTATGGTTTCTAGAAGTAGTGTTTTGGAGTTCTCTTTGTATTTGTCATTCATGTCCCTGGTAACATTTATTACCCAGTATTGTATTTATTTGGTAGCTACTGTAAATGTATTTATTTCCTTATTTCCTTTTCAGCAATCTCTTTGCTGGTATAGAGGAATCCAACTGATATTTGGATATTGATCTTGTACCCTGCCACTATGCTACATTGCTCAATTAGTTCCAGTTGTTTTCTTGCTGGTCTCTGGGGTTTTCTATGTATAGGATCATAGCATCAGCAAATAGGGATAGTTTCACTTCTTCCTTACCAATTCGGATGCCTTTGATTTCCCTTTCTTGCGTTATTGCTCTGGCTAGGACTTCCAATACAACGTTGAATAGAAGTGGTGATAGAGAGAATCCTTGTCTGGTTCCTGTTCTCAAAGGGAATAATTTCAGTCTCTCTCCATTGAGAATAATGTTGGTTGTTGGTTTTGTATATATGCCTTTTATTATTGTGAGGAATTTCCCTTCTATTTCTATTTTGCTGACAGTTTGTTTCTTTTTTTTAAATCAGGAATGGGTGTTGGATTTTATCAAATGCCTTTTCTGCATCGACTGATATGATCATGTGGTTCTTTTCCTTTATTTTACTTATGTGATGGATTACGTTATTTTTCTAATGTTGAACCATTCTTGCATACCTAGCATGAACCCACTTGGTCATAATGCTTTATCTTTTTTGATATGTTGTTGGACCCTATTGTCTAGGACTTTGTTGAAGATTTCTGTGTCTATATTCATGAGGAATATTGGCCTGTAGTTTGCCTTTTTAGTGATACCTTTGCCTGGTTTTGGTATCAAGGTTACGCTTGCTTCACAAAATGAATTTGGGAGGATTCCAATCTTTTGTATGTTGTGGAATCGTTTGAGTAGGATTGGTGTCAGTTCTTCTCTGAATGTTTGGTAGAATTCTCCAGTGAAACCATCTGGGCTAGGGCTTTTTCTTGTTGGTAATTTTTCTTATGACCTATTCAATTTATTTTGTTATGGGTCTGTTCAATTTTTCCACCTCATTCTGTGTTAATTGTGGTAAGTAGCGTGTTTTTGGGAGCTCTGGTACCATAGTGGCTAAGACACTTGCCTGCTAACCAGACGGCTGGTGGTTCAAACCCACCAGCCACTCCTCGGAAGGAAGGTTGGGCAATCCTACTTCCGTAGTGATACTGCCTCGGAAACCCAAGGAGGGGTCGCTATGAGTTGGGTTTGACTCGACGGCACATAACAACAACAACAACAAGCGTGTGTTTAGAAATCTGTCCATTTCTTCCAGTTTTTCAAATTTGCTGGAATACAGTTCATGTTGTTGTGTGCCATCGAGTCGGCCCTGAGTCATAGCGACCCCTCCTTGGGTTGCCAAAGCAGTATCACTACAGAAGTAGATTGCCCAACCTTCCTTCCAAGGAGTGGCTAGTGTCCTGATATTATCCTTTTATTTCAGTTGGTTTTATTGTGACATTGGCCAGTTCATTTCTTATTCATATTATTTGTATTCTCTCTTTTTCTTTTTCAAGTTTAGCAGTGGTTTGTCAATTTTATTCAACTTTTCAAAGAACTAACTTCTAGTCTTGTTTAAATTTTCTTCTGGTGACTGTAGGCTTTTTTTTTCTTTTTGCTGCTTTTTTTTTAATTGTTGGAGACATTGGGTTGAAGTGTTAATTTTGGCTCTTCTCTTTTGATCTGTGCATTTATTGCTATAAATGGCCCTCTGATCACTGCTTTTGCTGTGTCCCAAAGATTTTATATGTTGTGTTTTTATTCTCGTTTGATTCAAGGAATATTTTAATTTCATTTTTTGTTTCTTCTGTTACCCAGTCATTTTTAAGGAGGGTGTTATTCAGTTTCCACATGTTTGCTCTTTTTGTGTTGATCTTCCTATTGCTGATTTTTAATTTTATAGCATTGTGACCTAGAAGATGCTTTGCAGTATTTCAATGTATTCAAAGTTACTGAGGCTTCTCTTGTGCCCTAAATTGCCAGAGAATGTTCCATGTGCACTGGGAAAGAATGTGTATTGTACTGTTGTTGGGTGAAGTGCTCTTTCTCTAAGAGCCTCTGGATGTCTGTAAGGTCAAGTTGGTTGATTGCATTATTTAGTTTTTCTGTGTCTTTGTTGAGTTTCTTTCCAGTTGTTCTATCTTTCATTGAAAGTGGGGTATTAAAGTCTCCTACTATGACTGTGGAGTCATCTATTTGCATTTTTAATCCTGCTAAAGTCTCATTTATACATTTTGGAGCTCTTTCATTGGGTGCCTAGATATTTATCATGGTTATGTCCTCTTATTCAACTAATCCTCATGGCACTTGTAAATATTAAAAGTGGCTGTGCCATCAGGATAGGCAATAGTCCACTCTGTTTGTCTCCTTATTCACTGTTTTTATTCAGGTTCTTCTACTAGTTGGTATTTAATCTATTTCTGTATCCATTCTTTCAAAGCTAAGGGCTCCATAATTATCTTCTGTATCTTTGTCAATTGATTTTTCTCTGTTAAAGAGGGTCTGCATAGCTTGTCTATTCTGCCATATTGCAAAAAGTCCCCATGTCCTGCTGTTTTGTGTCTTCCTGCCTTTATACAACATTATCTCTCTGTCATTCCCCAACATACCAGCTAGTTAACTTAAATTTTAACATTCAAATCAAAGGGAACTAACTGTCCTTGTTTCCATTAGCAAGTATTTACCATGTTGTAATTTCTCCACTCATGTATCAGTTTGTCATACTAGGTGACTTAGGTCTTGCTGTGATGCTAGAAGCTATAGCACCAATATTTCAAATACCAGCAGGGTCACT